ATCCTTTTTTTAAGCTACCTTAAGTGGATTGGTCTTTACTGCAACTAAAAAAACTCTAAGCAAAAGGAATAGAATCAAAATAGGAAGCTCTAATTGTTTTCTGAGCACACAGGGTGCACTGGAGGATGGGGTTCCCATGCAGTGAACAGTTTTGTGGGTATCTCTCCCAGATAACTAGGTCACAGACAACTGGTGTTTTCCCATGTGGCAAAGTGGAGCATGCACAGAAATCCTTGCCTCCTCTCTCTTTGCTTTTCAAGCATTGCTGAATGCTTCCTAATGATTTCATCTGCTCAGAGGTCTGCTGGGTAAAGTGGTGGTGCCAGGGGCTGATGCATGCTCTGACTACTGACTTGAAGCATGCTTTGATGAATTAGTGCAACCCGACCAGCCATTTACTTTAAATTTTACCCTTGATTCTTCCTCTAACAAACAATTAAGGAGCAGCAGTGGCTTCCTGCAGGGGAGCCCAATGCCTTCTGTCCTCTGCGGAAACAGCTTTGGCGTTCTTCCAAAAGATGAATGGCATGGACCAGGAGCTCCAGTTTCCCTCGGCTTTCAAGCATCCAAATAAGCAAAATTTAAATGCATACAATAAAATAAAATAAATTCAAATCACAGACAAGGAAACCAGTCTAGGTTACCAGCAAGTCCTATGACTTGACTTGGGGGCTGGGAAATACATCCTCGAACTTAGCAATGCAGTAAACCAAAGAGCACTGAGAGGTCACATGAACAACTGGGCCCAGTGACAAGGCACCATATCTTCCTCATTGCTGGGTGAGTAGCACAGACCAACCTCAAAAGCTCCTGAGTTAGAGGAAAATGTCCCTTTAACAGTATTAAGGGACAATTTATTATGTGTCTCCTTCCAGGGAAGCACAATGTCAGTGCAGGCCCATTGCATTTGCATTATTTCCAGACAACAGCAGCAGCAGAAAAGGACACTGATTTATTTCAGAGCAAGCACAGGTGAATTTAATGTCTATTGGGACTGAGCCAGGGAAGACTTAACCCACTCTGGGCTCTCAAGTGCTTGAGGGGGGACGGCAGGTTTTTTGAAGGGTCCCATTGACCTCTGGCTAAATTCAGCTTCCCTGAGCCTATGTTCCTCAATCACCTGGCCAGAAAAGCTCTTGCAGAGAAAGGAGGATAGAAAAAATCCTGTTTAAGAACAGAAAATCTGGTGCTGGCTTCTCCGGCAACACATATACAAAAACTGGAATGATACAGAGTAGGTCAGTATGGTCTCTCCTCAAGGATGACACAAAATTTGTATGCATTCTATATTTTTTAGATGGAATTAAAATAAAGACAGGAAAGAAAGAAAGAAAGAAAAAGAAAGAAAGAAAGAGAGAAAGAGAGAAAGAAAGAAGGGAGGAAAGAAAGAAAGAAAAAGAAAGAAAGAAAAGAAAGAAAGAAAGAAAGAAGAAAGAAAGAAGAAAGAAAGAAAGAAAGAAAGAAAGAAAGAAAGAAAGAAAGAAAG